TAATAATTGTTTGGATACACTATATTTTTAATATGCTAGTTGTGATAATTTCATGCCAAGTAAAAATGTCCATAGTCATATTTTATGTTCCTAAAGTAACAGAATGACTTTCAAACTAGAAAAGACAAAAGAAATGCTAATGTAGCATTTTTTTCAATTTTTCCAAAGATTTCCGTTTCCCCCCGAAAAAACAGGGAAAACCCCGGGTTTTTTCCCGAGCTTCAAAATTTCCGGAAACTTTACATCTCTACTCTCCACCTCGCACATCACGTCACCAACACACCCACCCACTCTCACATGCCTCCCCCCCACCGCACTTTCACCCTTAGGCTTTAGTGAATCCATGGCTTCCTGACAGCTCTTCAACACACACGTCTCCCCTGTCCCCAGGGCAAGCTCCCTGCCCTCCGTGGTTTCCCCAGACAAAGAGGGAAGTTCTGCAGCCTCAGAACCGAGAAGGAAAAGGGGTTCCGGCACCCTGGTTCTCTGCCTTCCCTGGACTGGCTCGCTGTGACCTTCTCTCCCCCCTTCTAGGAGCTCAGTCCCTTCCTCCCCACCCCCCCCCCCCCCCAGCCAGGTGTGGTGCCTTCCCTTTAATGGGAGTCCCTCCCCACCCACCCTGTATCCAGTCCCCTTCCACCTGCCTGCTCCACCCGGGAGGATATAAAAGGAAAGGGAGGGCTTTCCTGCCACTTTCCCCCTGCTGCCTGCCTCCCCGCCTCCCTCCCTGGCCACTCAGGGCTGCCTCTTAGCTTCTTCCAAGTCTAGGCTCAGCCTTGCCTCCTGACCACGTCCCTCCCCACTGCTGCCTGGCTCCCGGCCACCCCCATCTCCTCGCCTTCCTTGCACAGGGGAGTCAGGTCCCTGGCTGGCCTCACTTGGGTCAAGTTGGGGCCGAGCATCCACTCCCAACACAACACGGTCAACAGATAACAATCCGGAAATCGACTTCCATTTGTTTGACCGAGGCGGTGCCCCCCCCCTCCCCATGCATCGTGGAAAATCCCATCCTCGTGTCCCACTGAAATGGAGGTCCCGCAACGGCGGCTGACTTGACGCGCGCCAGCGAAGGAGGGCGCACCGAGGTTCATCTTTTGTCAAAGTGACATTCTGCAGATTCGAAAGACTCCGCTGAGTGGCTTAAATGCGACTTTTAAGCACTCGCCCAGCTATGGCAGACTGCTCTGGGCAGTTCCAGATCCCAGTTACGACTACAGGAGTAGTGAGACAGAAAACCACAAGGTGCAGCTGAAAGGCAGGACACGAAGCAGGGCTTTGCATGGACAGGCAGCATATGCCGCGCAGAAGGGGGAGCCAAGAAGAACAGCAGCTTTGTAAGAGGGAACGGGTCAGACCCAAAGAACTCCCATTTTACAACCGTCCCACCTAAAAAGGGACCACCCAGGACAACCAAGCGACTTTCCGCCAGGATCGAGTCTTCCGGCCTTCCTGCAGGCAAGCTCAGGGTCAGTCTGGAAAGGAGAAAAGCCCCCTGCACAAGGAACCCCACCCTCGCACGTCCGCCTCTTTTGCAAAGCGTGCATGCAGTGAGGACCAATGGGCTGGTTCCCGTTTCCAATATGCAGGCAGGCAGCTCCCGGTGCTCCTCTTTTCCGGGCCTCGAATGCCAGCCACTGACACCTCATACACGGAAGTGGGGGTGATGCCGGCGAAGCCTGAGAACTCCCTAGGAAAGTCAGCCTCTCCGGTTGCGCCTTCCCCCCAACTCTCTTATTCATCTCCCCAACAACTCTCTTCCATAAATGTGTAGAACTTACCAGCTTAAACTTTATCTCTAGGAGGCTGCCTTTACGGCGACTGTTTCCAGATGTCCCAAGCAACCGGTTATTGCGTACTCCCCCGTCTTCCCTGCCCATCTCTACTCCACGAAGGCTTATCTGCTGTTTCCCCCCTGCGTTTCCTCCGCTCACACATACTTAAGCGCCTCTTCCTTTTCCCTCTTCAAAGCTTGCTTCAGCAAAGCCCTTTCCTGGACCACCCTCACCTCCTTTGCTTCCAGATTAGTCCTCCCATCTCTGCCGACTATCGTCCAACGGGAGCAAAAGGCCCTGCTGCGGTGTAATCGGTTTAGGCATCCAGACCGAACACTTGTCGACAAGCCCATTCGCAGCTGAGGCTTTGCAGACCAGTCGCCACACTCACCTGGGCTCCTGATACAGGACCAAAAGGATTTGGAGGTCTCATGACAGGCTGGCTGTATATTAAGGTTGGCTGCGTCATTACCGGCACTCCTCCCATTTGGGACGGCTGAAATCCGGAACGGGACAGAATTAGATTCAGCGTAAGTAGTCCAAAGCACAGAGGAGGTGAGACTAAGCAACTCAGCGGCCTTAAGCACACAAAAAAATATGTAGGGCAAAAAAACTCAGGGAACATGCGAAACGGGTTCCAAACTTGGGGTCACCTGCAAACTGTGTTCTTTCAAAAGGACAAACTTCTGGCTTCGTCTCTCAAAACTGTTCTGGGTCCTGCATATCCTTTTCCCAGATGGACCTCTTTACTTTCCCCCACTGACTGGTGAGGCCATACTTCAAGCTCCCCTATTTATCAAGGGAAGAACATCTACAGTTCACACCAAAGTCCTCTGCTTTATTCATTCCAGTATCTGGACTCAAACTGGGTTAACGCACTGTTACACAGGAGGAAGAAGGTCTTAACTCTACAACTGCTTTTTTGGTTCTAGATGAAAGCATTACACCTATTGAACAATAAAACCAGGCAGAATCAAAACAGCTAATAGAATCAGGGAACAGCTTGGAATGCTGTTAAAAAGTTAATAAAAAATGAGCAGATCATACAAATGCAGAGCAGATTACTGACTCTTATGAGCTGTTGACTGCAGAAGGTGCTAGCCACAGCAAAAAAAGGGAACAGATTTGACCTTCTCAGTAGTTTTCACCAGGTGACCCAAGACAACCGCTAATAATGACTTACAAAAGAAATGCTAATGTAGCATTTTTTTCAATTTTTCCAAAGATTTCCGTTTCCCCCCGAAAAAACAGGGAAAACCCCGGGTTTTTTCCCGAGCTTCAAAATTTCCGGAAACTTTACATCTCTACTCTCCACCTCGCACATCACGTCACCAACACACCCACCCACTCTCACATGCCTCCCCCCCACCGCACTTTCACCCTTAGGCTTTAGTGAATCCATGGCTTCCTGACAGCTCTTCAACACACACGTCTCCCCTGTCCCCAGGGCAAGCTCCCTGCCCTCCGTGGTTTCCCCAGACAAAGAGGGAAGTTCTGCAGCCTCAGAACCGAGAAGGAAAAGGGGTTCCGGCACCCTGGTTCTCTGCCTTCCCTGGACTGGCTCGCTGTCCTACCCCGGAGGCTCAGGGCGGCTAAATTGGACTTGCTTCCCCAAAGACTTGCATAGCTCCTTGAATGTGATTTTCAAGTTATATTTTGTAATGGGAGTCCCTCCCCACCCACCCTGTATCCAGTCCCCTTCCACCTGCCTGCTCCACCCGGGAGGATATAAAAGGAAAGGGAGGGCTTTCCTGCCACTTTCCCCCTGCTGCCTGCCTCCCCGCCTCCCTCCCTGGCCACTCAGGGCTGCCTCTTAGCTTCTTCCAAGTCTAGGCTCAGCCTTGCCTCCTGACCACGTCCCTCCCCACTGCTGCCTGGCTCCCGGCCACCCCCATCTCCTCGCCTTCCTTGCACAGGGGAGTCAGGTCCCTGGCTGGCCTCACTTGGGTCAAGTTGGGGCCGAGCATCCACTCCCAACACAACACGGTCAACAGATAACAATCCTGAAATCGACTTCCATTTGTTTGACCGAGGCGGTGCCCCCCCCCTCCCCATGCATCGTGGAAAATCCCATCCTCGTGTCCCACTGAAATGGAGGTCCCGCAACGGCGGCTGACTTGACGCGCGCCAGCGAAGGAGGGCGCACCGAGGTTCATCTTTTGTCAAAGTGACATTCTGCAGATTCGAAAGACTCCGCTGAGTGGCTTAAATGCGACTTTTAAGCACTCGCCCAGCTATGGCAGACTGCTCTGGGCAGTTCCAGATCCCAGTTACGACTACAGGAGTAGTGAGACAGAAAACCACAAGGTGCAGCTGAAAGGCAGGACACGAAGCAGGGCTTTGCATGGACAGGCAGCATATGCCGCGCAGAAGGGGGAGCCAAGAAGAACAGCAGCTTTGTAAGAGGGAACGGGTCAGACCCAAAGAACTCCCATTTTACAACCGTCCCACCTAAAAAGGGACCACCCAGGACAACCAAGCGACTTTCCGCCAGGATCGAGTCTTCCGGCCTTCCTGCAGGCAAGCTCAGGGTCAGTCTGGAAAGGAGAAAAGCCCCCTGCACAAGGAACCCCACCCTCGCACGTCCGCCTCTTTTGCAAAGCGTGCATGCAGTGAGGACCAATGGGCTGGTTCCCGTTTCCAATATGCAGGCAGGCAGCTCCCGGTGCTCCTCTTTTCCGGGCCTCGAATGCCAGCCACTGACACCTCATACACGGAAGTGGGGGTGATGCCGGCGAAGCCTGAGAACTCCCTAGGAAAGTCAGCCTCTCCGGTTGCGCCTTCCCCCCAACTCTCTTATTCATCTCCCCAACAACTCTCTTCCATAAATGTGTAGAACTTACCAGCTTAAACTTTATCTCTAGGAGGCTGCCTTTACGGCGACTGTTTCCAGATGTCCCAAGCAACCGGTTATTGCGTACTCCCCCGTCTTCCCTGCCCATCTCTACTCCACGAAGGCTTATCTGCTGTTTCCCCCCTGCGTTTCCTCCGCTCACACATACTTAAGCGCCTCTTCCTTTTCCCTCTTCAAAGCTTGCTTCAGCAAAGCCCTTTCCTGGACCACCCTCACCTCCTTTGCTTCCAGATTAGTCCTCCCATCTCTGCCGACTATCGTCCAACGGGAGCAAAAGGCCCTGCTGCGGTGTAATCGGTTTAGGCATCCAGACCGAACACTTGTCGACAAGCCCATTCGCAGCTGAGGCTTTGCAGACCAGTCGCCACACTCACCTGGGCTCCTGATACAGGACCAAAAGGATTTGGAGGTCTCATGACAGGCTGGCTGTATATTAAGGTTGGCTGCGTCATTACCGGCACTCCTCCCATTTGGGACGGCTGAAATCCGGAACGGGACAGAATTAGATTCAGCGTAAGTAGTCCAAAGCACAGAGGAGGTGAGACTAAGCAACTCAGCGGCCTTAAGCACACAAAAAAATATGTAGGGCAAAAAAACTCAGGGAACATGCGAAACGGGTTCCAAACTTGGGGTCACCTGCAAACTGTGTTCTTTCAAAAGGACAAACTTCTGGCTTCGTCTCTCAAAACTGTTCTGGGTCCTGCATATCCTTTTCCCAGATGGACCTCTTTACTTTCCCCCACTGACTGGTGAGGCCATACTTCAAGCTCCCCTATTTATCAAGGGAAGAACATCTACAGTTCACACCAAAGTCCTCTGCTTTATTCATTCCAGTATCTGGACTCAAACTGGGTTAACGCACTGTTACACAGGAGGAAGAAGGTCTTAACTCTACAACTGCTTTTTTGGTTCTAGATGAAAGCATTACACCTATTGAACAATAAAACCAGGCAGAATCAAAACAGCTAATAGAATCAGGGAACAGCTTGGAATGCTGTTAAAAAGTTAATAAAAAATGAGCAGATCATACAAATGCAGAGCAGATTACTGACTCTTATGAGCTGTTGACTGCAGAAGGTGCTAGCCACAGCAAAAAAAGGGAACAGATTTGACCTTCTCAGTAGTTTTCACCAGGTGACCCAAGACAACCGCTAATAATGACTTGTGGCCAGATGTAACCGGCATGTGGGCTCACAGAAGGGGAGGTGGTCTAGGAAGCATACGGCGTCCCAAGAGCCTTAAACAAGATGTAAATGGAAGCTGGAACTCTTGGTCACAGTTGTAGCATTAACCAACTAGCATTGCCTCTTTATCTTATCTCTGTTCAATTAGTTTGCTCCCTTCGTCCACTTGACAAGAGCTTCCAGACATCGGTATGGGACAGTGGCAGTTTCCTTTGAATGCTTTGCTAGTGAAAATGTAGAGCTCACCACCCATCCGGACATAGATGACACTGCAAGCCACAGAGGCTCTTACTCAGTAGCTTCTTACAGATTTTAGTATTGACAATCTGGAATTTTTAATGTTTCCCAAGGCCTCTTGCTGACCTCTTTGTCGTAAATAGCCACTTTAACTGTACGTTTCTAACCTTGTGCACGGCCATCTTTTTAAACGCAACAGCAGGGGCCAGCTGGTGCATGCCTTTGCTTAACTCGGAGGAAGAAAACTGGTGTTGTACAGAGATGGATACTTAATGGATTCAGACAGACAGCTTGGGGGGGAGGGGTGTTGTCCATTGAAAGCTTATTGCAGGTACCTGGCCCAAGGATGGCTCACTTAGCCGCCACCAGGGGAAGGGCCTTTTCAGGGCCTTTTCAGTTGTGGCCCCTAGCCTGTGGAACGCACTCTCGGATGACACCTGTGCCCTGCCAGACTTGTTTAGTTTCCGCAGGGCATGCAAAGCTGAATTGTTTACATTGGCCTTTGGAGGGTAACCACATTTGGGCTGTTTTAATAGTGGTATGATAGCCACTTTTTTAGTATTTTAATATGTTGATATTAATATTTTATATTAGTTTATGTTATTACCTTCCTGGTTTTAATGTTGTTAGTCGCCACGAGACCCTTTGGGTGAGCGGCGACTAAAAAAATCTAATTAATAAATACAATGTAACCAGATTTTTTTCAAGGCACCCTTCGGAACCGCCTGTTTAAAACCCCTTTCAATTTCCTTCCTAGATGTTGTGAGTTCTTGAAACAGCTTTTTAATTACAGACTACTCTTGGCTTATTGTTCAGATTTCCTACTTTGGCTGCCTAGTTGTGTTCAACCCGTGCAAAATGTACAGGTACATCTGAGGCTAGGTGGGAAGCGTGCACATCCGTCAGTGGCTTTTTGACTTCTTCCAACAAGAAGTTCTTCCTACCAAGAACTTCTATACATCTCTGCACTGCAGAGGATTCTGAGAAAGGTTCCACCAGGGTACACAAAGTTCACATACAACCCAAGAGAAAATGCCCCCATTGGCTTGAAATACTAGAATTTACTGACCATTCCGTAGCCCATCACTCCGGTTGGCGTCGTCGCAGGATAGGCCATTACAGGCGGTGCCTAATGCGGGGGGGAAAAACAGCGATAAAGCTACACAGAAAAGGACTTCTTCTCAAACAGTCATGAATGGCCTTGACTGCCCGAGCCAGAAACTGGCACCTTACTATAAAGCCTACAGTACCATCCGTGCAGGCAAGCCAACAGTTATACACCAACTGCAAAGGTAAACTGAGGCAATATTACAGATGGTGCCCAGCCTGAGATACAGATGTAGGCATCTCACAACACCCAAGGAAGCTCATCTGGCAATATGAGCCTAAGCACCTGCAATAGGCAAGCTGGGGATCGTCTCCAAAAGCTAATTCAAGTGCAGTCAGCTCACTGATGCTATTATCGAAAGTATAAAGGAAGGCCCCACCGACGGCCTTCAGACAATCACCAAGGTCTGGAAGGAGAGTATACAGCTCACAGCAGGTACACAGCTCAGCAGCTACACAGCTCACAGAGTTCACAAGAAGCTCTGTGTTTTAAAGGAGGAGAGCGGGCAAAAAATACAAATCGGTACAGTCTTCACAGCTCCCAGCCTCAGCCTTCAGGAGTGACTTTTACAGTCAAGAACATAATCACCGGGAGCTACAGGTAAGGGGCTGGAGTTGGGGTCCTGTGCCTACGCCTCACCAGGCTGGCTTTAAGGACCACGGTTTAAAGCACTTAACCCTTCCTCCTCCAGAGCAGTAATGCTGGCAATCTGCCCTTTTATCTCCAGTTCCCTAATTAACGGACAATGGCTCCTCTCAAAAGGTTGAGTCCCCTCTTGTATCCTATTGCACAATACAAAGGAAGAGAATCTCTACAAGATATGAAAGTGCAGAGAACTATAGAGGTGTGCATCTTACTAGGAGCCTCTCCCATGCAGGGAGATCTATAAAAGCATTATCTACAGCAGCTGTTTTCTATCAGAATAACTTCCAAAAGAGAAAGTTGGGGATTGGGGGGAGTTAGAACCAGACAGTTTTCAAAACAAGACGAAACATGGTTTCTGTGAACTCTGATGTCCACCACAAAACGGGAGTCCATCCTCTTACCAGTAATTACAGTTAATGAGATGATGCAGCGATTAGTATCCGCACAGCTAAAAGCAAACCAGTTTGCAATACATATGGAGATTCATATGCTGAGCTGTTGGCTTCCAAGTGCTCAAAGGCTGGCTTTGGATTTCCCCCACAATGGAAAGAGCACAGGGAAAGACCAATAGTAACACCAGAGAAGCTGACCGTCAGCGAAATATGTCACTATAATAAGAGCAGAAGAATTAAATTGCTAAGGTCTGCTACAAACCAGCTCAGTCATAATGTGCTATTTGCCCACGGATAAAACAGATATGGGAAATATGTATTTTGCACACAGCAGGATAATTGTTTCGACAAAGTCACCTGACCTTTGGAATACATCAAAAATCTTTATGATTCCATTCTTTAGCTCTTATTATATTAACACTTTGAGGAATTGGGTCAATTTATCACTGATGGTTTTTGAAGAGTCCTGTCACCGCTCTGACCCCCATTTAACCCCCTTTTTGGTACTGAAATGAGAGACGGCCTCCCTTTTAAGAAAAATCGTTCTGAAGTTACAATCAGCTCCTTTGGGAGTGAAACCAAACGACAGGGATTTTTCACTCCATTTTTTGTGTTTCGGGACATATTGGTCTCTCCCTAGTTGGGAAAAATCAAGTCAATAGCGGATCAAGTGCCAAGTTGAACAGAAGCCTGTGAGGTTTCATGCAGTTATTCTCACACATACACACACAAATGCCTTTAATCTGATTTATTCACCAAATGCAATTTTTTTGTTTTGTTTAAAGGCAGTACAGACACACAAATGCACGCCATCTCCCTGGCAGCGAATGACAAGAGTTCAAAGCGAGAAAAATCTTAGTGTTCGTCCATGCCGTCATTGGAGTCAAGAGGCCTGCAGGACCCCCGTGAGATCTGGATAAGCTAGAAGCGGCTCGAGTTTCCCGACCATGCCCAAAGATTGGAACGTAAGGAGGAGGGGAAAAAATGTGGCGTAGCGGGAGGATTATGAGGTTCTGCTGCACCGATAGTGGTTAATCGCATGCCAATCTGATTGCAAAAAAAAAAGGAAAAAACGAAGAAGAAAAAAAAAAGGAGAGAGGCCACGAGTTTTGTACACTTACGTATTGTGGAAAATGCATGCCATTCTGTTTTTTCCCCCGGAAGAACAATTACATAATGCAATAACACTGGATTAGAAATGAGCACTTAAAACAGAATACACACACACACAGAGCATTTTAGCCACAAGAGCATTTATCATTAACCCTGAAATGCCGACTCTTGTAATGCCGAGCCATTTCAGTGAAACGTCCCGTAAAAGGCGCCGACATGGTTGACGGGCCTGCAAATACGTCTTCTGGATTCTTGCATGTTTTGATGCCGTTTGTGTGTTCAGGTCTTAACTTGGAGAGTACTGAAATTCTCTCAATGAAAGGGCAAAGCATTCACAAGAAGACCAAACTAAAACACAGCAAACCAGAAGATGAGAAGGGATAGCCCTTTCTAGCCCTAGAAACTCTTTAGGAATACACGTCCCTAGGTTTAGCCCCTCCTGTCTTCAGCGTGCTGGTTTTCTATGCTCAGGAAGAGTTTAACACTAGAAAGCATTCAGATACGCAACACCTCTTCCGACCTGAAGTTGTATAGTTTGAAAGAGCAGAAACTGATAGGCAGGTGCCAGTGCTTAACCACTCCCCTCCCCTTCCTGTCAATCTGCCCTTTCAAACAATCTGCAGATAATCTAGAGAAGCTTTTGACCAATACCTGTGGGGGTATTTTCAGGGACCAACCCGCTGCAAAGGCCACACAACCAAGCAATTCCGACATATGTTGTCGAAGGCTGTCACGGCCGGGGTTTCTTAGCTGTTGTAGATTTTCCAGGCTGTGTGGCCGTGGTCTTGACATTGTAGGACCTGAGTAGATATAAATCACCTGCCTACCATTTTTCTTCCCGCCTTGACACAGAGAGTACTCCATCTTTCTGTGTTATACCTCTGAGGGTGCCAGTCACGGCTACTGGCGAAACGTCAGGTCCTACAATGCAAAGACCATGGCCATACAACCCGGAAAATCTACAACAGCTAATTCCGACATAATTCATGCTCATCAGATACAGTGTACAAACTGGGGGGGGGGGGGCTGAGAAAAATCCAAGGGGAAGGGGGTTGGGAACTCCCAACCTTGAACCAAGTCTCCTTACCCCAGACACTATAAGCTCTTAAGCTACCCCCACCTCAGTCTCCCTGTTTTTAAAATCCTTTTACAGTCTCAGCTCTCCTCAGCACTGAGGACAATGGACACAGCCAACCCCCCCCCTGGAAGCATTAGTTAACAAATATTTTCCCCATGTGCGTAACTTTCAAATCCCGTGAACGGCCAGCAGAATGCACCAAAAGTCCCTCAACCCAGAGAAATCAGCTTTCCTGGGACTGACTCCAGGAGGGGAGGGTGGGGTGGGGGGAAACCCCCACGATCCCAGTGCCTGCAGGATCCAACCCCTCACTTGCAGACTGTGGGATCCAACCCCTCGCCTAAGCACGCAGAAGCCCCGACTTTTCATTGCCCGTGACTGACTCAACGAGCGGGAATGATGAGAAATTTCCCCACAGATAAGCAAATCCTCCTTTGGGACTCTAGAAGCCCTCAGTGGCTTAATCAAATCAACAAAGCCCTCCCCCTCCCGTGCCTATTAGAGCATATCCAGTCCTCAGTGGACTTCTGTTCTGGGGTGGGATTATTAAGGTAACCAACAGACACACTTCCCCGCATAATGGGAAGTCCCCCTTTGGGTACACAGAACCCCCTGGCTTGCCCACCGGCAGCTTTCCTGACTGGCATCAGGCGCCCAGTTTTCTCCTAGGAGGAGTAAGAGGGAATGGTAGTAACTGTCCCAACAGTTTGTGATCCAAGGCCTTAAGACGGGAAAAGCCCCCTTCCTTTATATAACCCATGTTATGGGTCTTTGATGGACTGAACTTCAAAGGGCATCACTGGCTCTGTCCTGTGCTTGCCACTCTCCCAGGATAAAGGACTGACCATCTTTCTAACATGAAAGGGGTCTCAGCACCAGTGTTCCCTCTAAGCTGAGTTAGTGTGAGCTAGCTCACGGTTTTTTAGCCTCCGGCTCACACATTTTTGTCTTCGCTCAGGAAGGATGGGGCTTCAGAGCAAACTGATTTATGCAGGAGCCAAGTCTCTTGCTCAGAAGAACTTTAATGCCAGTAGCTCACAAAGTGGAATTTTTGCTCACAAGACTCCACAGCTTAGAGGGAGCGTTGCTCAGCACCGAAACTTTTCACTTCCCTGAACAGTCGTCTTACATGAAAAGCTACACAGAGGACACCATTATTGTATCAGCGACTGAACTACAGCTGTCAAGCACATTCGTTAAAGAGACACGCCAGGTGAGCATCAGTATCCCTGGCACACAAGCCCCGAGCAAGGCAGCAGCGGCTCACACCAAAAAAAAAAAAGGGTCAATGGTCTAATGAGCTATGAACATGTCTCTTTGCTTAGAATATTCACAACCCACTGACTCGCTGCTAAAGACTGTAAAGACCGTTTACAGCACAGTCATTAACGCACAACCAAAACAAGTTCAAGAAGTGGGTGGACAGCAGATTTCTCCCTGCCGATTTCTCCTCATTCTTGATCGAATCCTGCTCTCCGCCATAGTTTACATATTAGGCTTTGTGGGTTTCATGTGTAGGTGTGTTAGATGCTGGGGCTACAATAAGGTATCTCTAGGCAGAGTCACAACATCTTGCACAGATCACTTTTTAACGAGAACTACGAATGAAGAAACCAGAACCGATACTCATCAGTTTCTTTGGCAGTTTGCCAAGTGCTGGACTTAGCCCAAATCCTAGCACAACCAAGAAACGTGCTGCTTAGCACTGGACAGGTCACTACCTTTCAACCTAACCTCCCTTGCAGCACTGTTGTGGACACAACACATCAAATTGCCTTTTAATGTGTCAGATGATTGGTCGGTCACCTTCCAGTCTTGTTATCTCTGACTGGCTGAGGCTCTCCATGGTCTTCGGCAGAGGTCTTTCACATCAGCTACTACCTGGTCTTTTACGTGGAGATGCCGGGGATTAACACTGGGACCTTCTGGATGGCAAGCAGGTGCTCTACCACTGAGCTAGAGTCCCTCCACTATACGATAACCCTACTTTGTGCTACTCATGAATTATTTGGAGGAACAGTGGGCTAAAAAAATGAAAACGGATCAGACCTCGGGGGGGGGGGCATAACTGCATTAGGAATGGGCACAAATCCGCTCACGAGTTCATGACGAATTCTGGCCGGTTTGTGGCAGGTCAACTGTCATGAACTTTCAAGCAGTTCGTGGCGGTTCATGAATGGATACATTTCCAGACAGTCTCTACTCAATCAAAATGTTTACTGAACTTCAAAGCAACAGGTTCCCAAAGCAACTTTAATAGGTTCCCTGTGCATTTGGTGTGTGTTGCTTGCACTTCTGAACCGACACCTGACATTTTCCTCAAAATCATTTTCCTGGGAGCATCTTCTTTGAGGGGCCATAACTTGGACCCCCTATGTCCAACCTGCACATAACTTGGAAGGCATGTAGATGAGCATCGGGAAGAGGTCCCCTGCAAGTTCGATGCCTCCAGCTTGCACCAGGTCCATTCTATACACTCCTGAACCTGAGCCTGTCATTTCCCCAGAAAGCCCTTTCCTGGGCGCACCTTCGAGGAGACATAACTTGGACCCCATCAATCCAATCCTCACTAAAGGTGGAGGGGCAGGTAGAGGAGAGTCAGCCGGTGTCTCTAGCATGCGGGGGGGGGGGGGTTTTTACGGCACACGAACCTCACAAACTGAACCAGTTCGTTTAGCACCCTAAAAGTTTGCGACAGTTCACGGTTTGCAAACCGGGCACACCCCGAACCATAAACTGAACCCCATTTCCCCAGTTTGTGCCCATTCCTAAACTTGATTCTCTCTTGCTATTCTGCAACCTATAGCCTCAAACAGGCAAACGTTGAGGCTCGACCACCCTCTTGCATCTCCCAAGCACCCTCAGTTCCAAACTCTGGGAGACAGCCTCAAACAATTTAAGGCAATGGTGGAGCAATATGCTACTCAACGGATTTCCTGGGTTAGTGACCTTAACGCAACACTAGCTCCATTCTACAGATCCAACTTACACGCCATGGCCAATGCATCCAATAGTGACACGACCTAAACAAAGCCCTTCTGTTACTTTGGGCTTCAACAGTGTCTTCACAGACTTCATACATTTTATACACAGTGGCTGGCATCCAACCTCCACTACTATGACAGTGGCTTACCATTGTCGGTGCATTCCACGCTGTTGTTGGCGCAACTTTGGGCTGCCAGTTGGTGCCTCCCGTTAGCTTCTTCTCTCCTGGCTGTGTCCAATTCACGTCGCTTTGAATAAAGGTTCAAAACGTCACCACTCGGGAATTCTTTGCGAGCTGCCTTTTCGACAGCCGGCATTTGAAAAAAGGTCATGCGGTTTAGGAAAAGGCCACATTGAGATTTTCTTTTACATCCCGTACCCCTGCACGGACTCAAAGTCTTGGAGAAACTTATTCATGGGTAGAAGAGGTTGGATTTATACCCCATCCTTCACTACCTGAAGGCGTCTCAGAGCAGCTTACAATCTCCTTTCCCCCTCCTCACAACAGACACCCTGTGAGGTAGGTGGGGCTGAGAAAGCGCTTTCCAGAACAGCCCCGAGAGAACTCTGAATGACCCAAGGTCATGCCAGCAGCTGTATGTGGGGCAGCGGGGAATCAAACCTGGTTCTCCCAGATTAGAGTCCGTGCTCCTAACCACTACACCAAACTGGGTAGCCAGCTAAATATAAAAGCAGATACGCTTAATGCCCTTCCACTCTAAATCCACCAGTGGAAATCTGGCTGAGGCCTCAAACAAGCTTGCAGAAGACAGCCGCTCTAAGGAAAGTGGGCCTAAAGCGGTAAAAAGCAAAGGGCGTGTGCAGTCCCTAGCTAGGACAACCCAGGTCAACTTGAATTCTGGGAACTCAAGGATCCCCTCCCAAATTCTTGCAAAAAGTTATTTACCCTACAGCTTTTTGGTAGACATAAGAACATAAGAGACGCCAATGTTGGATCAGGCCAAAGGCCCATCCAGCCCAACACTCTGTATCACACAGTGGCCAGAAACACCAGGTGCCATCAGGAGGTCCACCAGTGGGGCCAGGACATTAGAAGCCCTCCCACTGTTGACCCCCCCCCCCAAGCACGTGGGCTAACCACATCCTGCTCACAGAGTTTGCTACTGTGAACACCCAGAAATGGAAAGTCTGATAGGAAAAGGGCAACGAGGACTAAGGAGACGCCAGCTCTAATCTCCATTCAGCCTGGAAGCTCTCGGGGTCACCCTGGGCCAGCCGTACACCCTCAGCCTAACTGACTTCGCAGGTCGTTTCAGAGGGTGGCTGTGCTGGCCTACCGGTAGACCAGTCGGATTCCAGTCCGGTAGCATGTCAGAGACCAAGAGTTTCAAGGTATAAGCTTCGGAGAGTCAGAGCTCCCTTCATCAGACACAAGCAGAGTACAAACGGAGGCCTCCTAGTCCTTTTATCCTAGTCAGAAGGTAAGAGGGGTGTCTAAAGGATGCTCATAAAAGATGCCAAGGGAGAATGCAGATTGCAATCAAACTTGGTTAGAGCAGAGGGGAAACGCTTGGGGAGGGGGGCAGAAAAATTAGCATCTGGAGTGAGATAAGAAATCTCTGTCCCCATTTAGCCCCTGGGAGGGGCCACTGTTCCGAGCTTGTGACTTTATCTCAAGTTCAGCCAGTTTGGTGTAGTGGTTAAGTGTGCGGACTCTAATCTGGGAGAACCAGGTTTGATTCCCCACTTCTCCACTTGCAGTTGCTGGGTGACCTTGGGCAAGCCATAGTTCTCTCAGAACTGTTCTCTCAAGAGCAGTTCTCAGAGCTTTCTCAGCTCCACCTACCTCACAGGGTGTCTGCTGTGGGGAGGGGAAGGGAAAGGAGTTTGTAAGCTGCTCTGAGACGCCAAGTGAAGGGCAGGGTATAAATCCAATATCTTCTTATGAGCCTTTTTTACCCCACCCACCTTCTGACCAGGATAAAAGGACTCTGAGATCTGCTCTGCTCTATCTGACGAAGTTGACTCTCAAAAGCTTGTACCCAAAAGGCTTCCTGTTGGTCTCCATGCTCAAATCTAATTGTTCTACCACACAGGGCTGTTGAGAGAACCCCGAGCTGCTAAAGTCAAGGGAAGGATATAAATATGGTATTGCTATCACTGTTCATTGCCTCTAGGAAAAGGAAAAAGCTGACATGTGCTGCACAAAGTTGTTGCGGAAATACACTTATGAAGGTTACCCCCAAAAAAGGATGGATTGTGAAAAATACTCACTTTTTTGCTGTTCCATTTCCAATGCCCAAATCTGTTACAAAACAAGAAAGTGGTTGGAAGCAGCCCATTTACTAGCATATAAAACTGGGAAGTGCTGGTACTGTAACTGAGCCACAAAAGGATTTCACTTACTGCCTACAAGGTTGGCTAAAGAGGAATCCAGATCGTCCGATACTAATTTATTAGGAGGTGCTTTGGAAGTTGGAAGACTCTGGTTTTGAGAAGCCACGGTTGGTTTTAGGAGTCCACCTAATTCATCAAACCCTTTAAAAAAAGAGAGACGACGTTAGGAGCAACCAAACACATTTTCAAGACAGTGCAAGACACAACCTTCAGTATTTTTAGATCTGTATGTTATGGTAAGGTCGCAGTAACCCTAGATGACATTGTGCTATGTTTCTATTCCCTTTGCCAGGCTACTATTACTCAATGGAATTCTGTCTTCTTTAAAATTAAGAATCTTATTGTTTTCACACACAAAAAGTTAACATCGTAAACAAGGCCCTATATAAGCCCACCTCCCACCTCTTCCCTCATGTGCCCTATTAGCTGAGAAGGAAAGAAAGGAGAAGAAAAAAAGTAGGGCAGGAGCATAGGTTAGGAAAGTAAGGTGCAACATTATGGATTCAATTAAACAGGGAACAAAGGTGAGGAGATATCACTGCTCGAATAGGTACAAGGATTCATGCCAAATGGAGGTGAAGGTTCTGGGAGCTTCTCCCGTGTTATATGCTATTCTCTCTTTTGTACGAAGGTACCGTTGACCCAGAGATCTATAGTGGGAGATATGAGTTCCAGTATTGTAAAATGATGGAATTCTGTCCTGAAGAAACAGCAGCTCTACACCTCCAGCAGCCAGGACTCAGAGATACGAACTGGGAGGTACACAGCCATTCTCATCCGCTGCCGCAAAAGCAGTCAAGGTGCATCAAGACACTTAGAAGACCAGGACATTTATTGTGGCAAAAGCCTCTATGAACTAGACATGATCTGACAGACATAACTCTAGTTCACACACAAAAATTGTGCCACGACAAATCTGCCGGCCTTTAAGTTACCCGACAATCCAAAATGCTACTTTGGGCATACCCAAAGGGGCTGCATGCACTGAGCGAGAATATTCAGTTTTACTAAGAAGCGGCAATTTCAAGAGACCTACCACAAGAATCCACTGGCACATTTGTCGTTTTGTTTCCAAACACAGACTCAAAGTCAACATTAAGGCCTGCAGAGGTTTGGGGTTGGGCAATGGGAGACGGAGTCAAGCCTACAAAGAGACGTTGACAAGAATTAGACTTGCTGATACACAAGGACAGGATCTCTCAACCTCCATGCAAGTAAAAACTCCTCGGCTATAACAAAGTCCTAGGTGTTCAGACACCGATTAAGGGCTTTGGAGAAGTTCGCGCCTTTGCAGCAACAGCTTCCAGTTGTCACCTGGAAGGAGACATTCATGATGCAAGACACACTGTGCCGAAATTTTCATCTTTCTGTGCTTAGCTGTCGCTGTGCAATACTGCCAAGTCTTTCCTAGCCCCTAGACTCCTTCAGAACAAGTTGGAATGGCGTTTTGTCACCACTGGACTGGACAGATTTCCATCAAAGCAAGAGTAATATCATCCCCAAGCACCAAAAGCCCTAAATAGTCATCTCCGAAGTTTAGTACTTGATGTGAGAAGTTCAATCAAAAACATTCCTATAACTTAACAAGGTTTGAGTCCAGGGGCACCTTTAAGACCAACCAAGTTTTATTCCTGGTGTAAGGTTGTGTGTGCACCCACCCATGCTTATACCAGGAATAAAAAATTGTTGGTCTTAAAGGAGCCACTGGACTCAAACTTTCTTCTGCTGTTTCAGACCAATACAGTTACCCACCTGAATCTATTACTGGTGTTCTTGTTCTCCCTTCCCAGTCCCATGCCTGCGTTCAAGCCGCAAATATTCCAACGAAGTTTTAGAACCTACATCGGAGGCACTCTCTCTTTGTGGCCTCGCCTGCTTCACTGAAACACGTGGCAGGCACCATGCTCAGGGGAGCCACAAAAGGCATGCCAAAGAGCCAAAGATGGCCCCAGAGCACTGTGTGAGTACCAATGATCTACATCATCATCAGCGATTCGATTCACCCGTCAGAACAGAATGTTCGTAAACACAAGCAATTTCATTCACCCGTCAGAAAAGAACGTTCGTAAACACAAGTCAGACGCGAACCCAACTATTCTGCTCTGGTTCTAATGCAATGGTGCACTCTGTAGGTCTACATACCAACTCCTTTTGCACCTTTTGATCAAACTGAGCACCTCTCATTAAAATAGAATAAATAAACATAGTGGTGCTTGTGTTCTGCTTCGCACGGGCTTCTGGGGGCACCTGGCCCTCAGGTAGCTCGTTTAACTTCAACCAGAAGAAGGGCTTTTTCGATCGTGGCCCCAGCCTGGGGGAATGCTCTGTCTGAAAAGACTCGTGCCCTGTGGGACCTGTCTAGATTCTGCAGAGCCTGTAAGACGGAATTATTCCTCCAGGAGTTCCACTGAGATAATCTTCCTGGGTCTACTATCAGCTTCTTTGATGGTCATGCCAGAGTGTCAGTGCATTAAATTGTTTTATAGACCATTTGTATTTTTATTTATGCCATCAACTGCCCTGAGCCCTGAATGATGGGGGAGAGGCAGGATAAAAAATCAAATGAAATTAAACACAGGAATAAAGTAAAGAAATATATTTAACGAGTCAGAAACTACCTGATGGCTCTTAACACATGCACAACACTACACTGATGATGTTCATGTCCACTTCAGCATCATAAATGAATCAACAGGTGAGTCGACATCTTACTTCAAACAGAAATGCTGCTGCTTTTCTATAGTCTGAATACTGGAGCCACATACATGGCCACAAAGAAATCAAACATCTTCCTTTAGACTGCATATCAGTATGTCGGTAAGCAGAAGTTACTGGGTTTCTTTTGTGGTGGTCCTCACTAGTACGAAGTCCTAGCACCTTTATGGGGGGCTCTCCCAAGTCCCAAGGTGGGAATCAGTGCAACTTGATGTATGGGTACCGACACTTTTTCTTCCCTCCCCCAGCATTGGATTTTACTGTGCTAGGAGGATTGTTCTAAACTTGGCAAGAGTGCAGAAAGAATGGAAGGTGGCTTCAACACAGGTGCTGGGATCCGGGAACTGACGATAGCCACCTAGGACTGATTCACATGATCACAGCAGGCTGTGAAGTAGTAAATACTGGAAGTCAAAAGCTGAACTAGGTAGCCCTTGATCTGACCTAGCAAGGTATCCTCTATATTCTTTGACAGAACTGGGAGTTATCCCAGCAACAGGGCAGCTGCTTTGGAACAGAACTGCAACAGGGCAGCTGCTTTGGAACAGAACTGCTGAGGCACTGTCCCATGCAAACAAATGCTCAGCGAAGCAGCTGTCCACACAGTTAGTTTATTTCAGTGGAAGGAAAGACACACAGAAAAAGCCACCGAATGAAGTAGCTCGCACAAATATCCCCTACCATTTCTCCTTCAGCGCAGGAATGTTACAGGTGAGAGGACTGAAACTGGATGATTTTTTTGAGGCCAGTGTTCACAGGGTTCTTTAAAACCAATGTGAAGACCTCCAAGTTAAAGGTAAGAAAATCAAGCACAGGTCTTAACATCGGGGTGCTTTAGAAGTGCACAAACTCTCACCACAAAATCCTAGCCTATCGACTCAATCTAGCGTTACCTACAACCACAACTGTAACACAGCCAAAAGAACAGGCATCCACAACGAAAAGTGACAAAAGATTTCGTATGTGCACTGACGTGTTTTTAAAAGGTAGTCACAGTACCCATTTGGATGTTTTAAAACTGGTTTTAAACCGTTAACTGCACAAGAGATATACCAAAGGCACTTTCACACATGCTGAATAATGCACTTTCAGTCCAATTTCAATGCACTTTAGTTAGACGCTACAAGACCACATCAACAGACTGAGTTGTATTACTCAAATTTATGAAACTTCATTAAAAAAAATAAATTCTGGCAACTAAGGAAACTCCCCAAGCTGTGAGGAGCATTGTTACAGCTGTCTAATTAAAGCCCCCCCACCCCCAAGGAAAAACGTTACTGGTTGCTGGGCTTTGAAAGGATTTCACCTACCTCCAAATAGACCAGCTACAGTTGAGGGCTCACTGAGGAAATGGGAAGCATTAGGATAAGCTTGTGGACCACAAAAAGAATCTGATAAAAAGGCATACGAGGTAGAAGAGCAAAGAAGGAACGTTACACAGAGAGACAGAACCAGGAATACTCAAGTTTGCGTAGTCAAGTACTCGGAAGCTACGGCTACTCTACACACAAGCAGGCAGTCTCAGTAACAGCTTCTATAAAGGGAGCGCTTTATAACGGCAGCTAAACACAGTAGGATGAAAAAAAAATTCTATGTATATCACATCTACCGTAATTTTTAAAATCAAATGCCACGTTTTACACCTTTGAAGACATCAACAAGTGTAAAACCCTCAAGGCATTTATATTATACCTGAAGTTAAGTGACAGAGCTGAACAGTAGATGCATATTTGCTTGTCTCAAAAGGGTTTGCGTCAGTAAAGGGGTTGAAGCGATCTAAAGAACCAGAAAGAGTTAAATTTGCAAGTCGTATGCCTGACACGGTCGCTGTGAGAGTTGACGCTTCTTGGAAGACTCTCTGCCGTAGGTAGTCTAGAACCTGATTTTAATGAGACCAATCACGCACATCTGGATACATCCAGGGTCCCAGCGGTGGCTACAGCTTGGTATGCAACCAGCAGGAAGTCCCGCCTACTCTCATTCTGATAGGTGCTTGACATGACTCCCACTGAGAAAGCAATTAACGCTTTTGGTAGCGAGAACACTGGAGGAACTTGTAATAAAGGGGTTTGGGCTCCGCCAAGTCCTGCATGTACTGGGACAACTACAGTAGAAAAGAACAATAAAGCTCCCCCCTCCCTTCAAGAAGTTGCCAGATCTAGATTCCTACTAATTACCATTGCATGGATCTCTACTAATTACCATTGCACGGATCTATCTGTTGGGCATTTTTGCTGGAACTGGGAACCCTGCAGTACACTGACAAATGTCAAAAGACAGTGAACTAAAACTAATGGGCCTTTATCCAGTGACAAGATAGCATACTTGGAAAACTCCTACATTAGCCCTGAAGAGTTCAGGGGGGGAAAGGGGGGGGGAGGGCAGGGAAGCTAATCAGAAGGTACTTTACCAACAAACATCTCATGAGTAGGTGTCCTAGTAGTGAAAGGAGGTACGTCAGAGGAGACAGAGAGGTGATCGCTAGATTTTGCGAGGAAAGGATTTAGGCTTGGAATGGCATCGTCGACAGCGTCAGCGGTGGCAGTGAAGGGATCTGCGCAATCCAAGCAGAGGAGAAGAGGAAGGGGGGAAGAGAGTTAACTGGCACGTTAGTAACGAGAACAGCGCACGCAGCCCAAGAAGTCAGTCGAGTTCAAGAGAAAGCACAGCAACTGGCACCCTGATTGCAACCAGGGGGCTTGGCAGAATTAAGAGCATCAACTCCCACTTTGCATTGGCTTCCTGTCAATAGCCAGTGGGCATTTCCTTACAAATCACGGTGCTGCAGACACCTCCTGACGGCGTTTTATCTTGCAGCACACCGCTTAATGCCGGTGGGCTGAACACCCTTTAACTTGAGGTATCACTCCATCCTCTATGCTTTCTTGGGGCCTTCTGGAACTCCAGCTATGCTCACAATTCACACGACAGGAAAACTCCCTGTGTCCCTCTCATATTCAATTGGCATATAAACATGCCACAGCAGCTGTATTAATTACTCTTTGGGCGAAGAAGTGCTTCCTTTTATCTGTTATAAGAACATAAGAGCAACCAGTGTTGGATCAGGCCAATGGCCCACACAGTGGCCAAAACCCAGGTGCCACCAGGAGGTCCACCAGTGGGGCCAGAACTCCAGGAGCCTTCCCACTGTGGCTCCTCCCAGCACCAAGAATACAGAAAGGTCTAGGTATTAAGTCTCATGGCCCAGCCAGCAGCTCTAGGTCCAGACTGATCTTTGAGGCTGTTTTCTTGTGGTTGGAAGCAATGCTCCCTCTAAGCTGTGGAGTCTTGTGAGCAAAAATTCTACTTTGCGAGCGACTGGCATTAAAGTTGTGAGCGAGCGATTTCGCTACTGCATAAATCAGTTTGCTCCGGAGCCACATCCTTCCTGAGCTAAGACAAAAATGTGTGAGCCGGAAGCTAAAGAACTGTGAGCTAGCTCACACTAACTCAGCTTAGAGGGAACACTGGTTGGAAAACTCGCTTGGTGGACTATCCAACCGTCTGCAAATGGTGGGCACCAGGCAGACCACCATGTGCACAGTCAAGCTGGAACACGCTCCTGTAAGAGTCTCACTGAACATTCTGGGACAGTGACCACACAGCCCCAAGCAGAGAACCCCATAGAGTGGGGAATGGGGGAACTCGACCTCACCGCTGTCCCAGTCCAAAGACTCCCGACTCATCTGCTGTTTTCTCCTATGGGAGCAAAGGGGGTCAAGTGTAGGGACTAGAATTCCAAATCAGGATCTGGGAGACCCGGGTTCGAGTCCTCACTCTGCCACCAAGCTTCCTGAGCAACCCAGGGCTCGTCACAAACGCTCAGCCTCAATGACACCACAGGGCTGTTACGAGGACAGAACAGAGAAGGAGAATCATGTGCACCACCCTTCGGCAAATTTGGCCGGCCGCCGGATGTTAAGTGGAAACTGAAAACACCTCCTACGTACTGCGGATGACCCACCGCTAGACAGCAAAGACAGTTATGTGTTATGAGGAAATCCCTTACGACGATGCATTCGAGACTGACAAGGCACCCCCTAATCACTTAGAGGAATCTGAATTAATGGCATGTCCAAGTGAAGAATGGATAATACCTATGCAAGCCCTCGAGGGAAGGGGGGGGGGGGAGACAGGCATTTTCAACTGCATAAACAGCCTGTGCGCTCACGAATTAATTCACTTTCTAAGAAAGGGTGTGACATTCGAAGACTCAACGGTAGATGTCACAAGCTGCCAAGAACGCTCAAGTCCCACTGCTAAAGACGTCTTCTGTTGGAAGGATCGGTACCGCAGGGCTTAGTTCTCCTCCAAGGGGCAAAAAGACTCAAGTCGACCCTATGATGTCAAACTAGAAGCAGCTGTGGGTTTTAGCATCCCATTCTGCTTCAGATTCCTAGAACCTCTGATTTATCTTTTGACTAAGACATTTATAACATTTATATCCCAACTTTTGCCCTCGTTCAAGGTGGCTTACAATTCTAGTCAAAAACATTTCCAAATAAAATCAATAAAATAGCAAACCTCCAAATATCTCCCCCCCTTCTTTAAAAGATGCCTGCTGTTCATCCCCCTGCCCCCTCCTGAAGATCTGCAGAGAGGAGGGGCCCCTTCAGCTCTTCAGGGAGCCCATTTCACGGAGCCAGAGCAATGATGATAAAAGGCCCGGGGGGGGGGGCTCTGTTTGGTACTAAACAGGCCATCCCTAGTGGTGGGACAGCCGGTGGGGATATGGAAGGAGACGGTCCTTCAAACACTTGGGTTGTGAAGGTCTTTAAAGATTCCTTCTAGGTCGCTTCTTGTCATCTGCGCAGGCCAAGGCAGCAGGCACAGACAACAAATCATTGCAATCACATGACAGAGCAAAAAACACCGGTACCCTAAAACATAACAGAAGGTTGACTGTGCCCCAGGAACAATCACCTCCATGCCTGGAAGAGGTGAAGTTAACGGGCAGCCTTACTTTCTCCTGCCTGCAGTAGAAAAGAGGAAGAGCCCAGTAGCACCTTAAAAGGTGAAGGTTTCCCTTGCTCGAAAGCCAGTCGAATCCACCTCTAGGGTTGCGGTAAAGGTTTCCCTTGCTCGAAAGCCAGTCGAATCCACCTCTAGGGTTGTGGTGCTCATCTCAGTTTCAAAGTCGAAGAGCCAGCGCTGTCCAAAGACGTTTCCGTGGTCATGTGGGTGGCATGACTAAACACCGAGGCGCACGGAATGCTGTTCCCTTCCCACCGAAGTGGTACCTATTTATCTACTTGCAATTTCTTGCTTTCGAACTGCTAGGTTGGCAGGAGCTGGAACTAGAGACGGGAGCTCACTCCGTCATGCGGCACACTCGGGTCTCGAACTGGTGAACTACCGACCTTCCACAGCCTGCAGTTCAGCGTCTTAGCCACTTGAGCCACCGCAGCTCCCTCACCTTAGAGACTAACAAAAGACTACTCATTTCACTGCAGCGACTCATGAAAGCTCCTAGCCTGCCACCAATTTTGTTAAAGGTGCTACTAGACTCTTGCTCTTTTCGACTGCTACAGACAGACTAACATAGCTAACCATCTTGATCTATCTCCTGTTGGTTTAACCTGCCCCTCTGCAAGTCAAGAGAGGGCAGGTGTTTTACCAAGGGGAAATCAGGTGTTGCGCAATGGCTTCATTTCTACACTGTGATGCCTGAAGGGTACATGTCAGCCTATTAAGGCCCATTCCTGACTCCTACTGTCCTCCCCCCCTGTGTGTGCGTATTACCCCTTTCGTCCCCGTCTTGGTAGCTAAGTAGAGAGTGTGTGTTTCTTGTGCCTTAGTAACATTATCAGAGGAATGAACTGGATCGTAAAATGCTGTATGCCGATTCCCACCCCAACCCCAGAAAAAAACATAATAAGCCAGCTAAATTTAAGGTTCATGATTCCACGCAAATTCTCCACTGTATCTTCTGTCTCAAAATCTTTCTACGCAGCCTTTTCATATTTCAAGACAAAAACTGGTTTCCAGCTTTCTCTGCTTCTCTTCCTACTTTGTTTTGGTTCTGTGAACTGGCACCTCCGATTAAAAAACCTACATTGCATTTGAACCAAACCCCTCCATCCTCACGCAGAAGGAAAAGTACAAAGGCTTCTCCGGCATCCCTTTCTTGACAAGTTCTAGTTCCAAGCCATGGAAACTAGACTAGCTTTCTTTGTCTTTATTTACAAGGAACCTCGTTTATAGGAGAAAGGCAATAATAATAATAATAACAACAACAACAACAACAACAACAACAATAATAACAATAACAACAACTCATATGTTTTCTAAATGCCATAACACACATTCTTGTATGTTCCCATACCTGTTCTTGCCTTCCACATATTCTCCCTGCTCAACTAATTTCTGAAACCTTCAGAAGACTCTTCCACCTCATTCACCGAAGGCCAAGTACAGCTGAGGGTGTGGGATCCTACCGCTCTAAGTGGCCATGCTGTAAACCGTAACCGGGCAAAAGATCCCCGTTTGCTCACCTCCCCAGGTCCCTCCTACTTGGGGCGCAGAGGATATAGGATGCGCTGATGGATGAAATGTTGGCTGCAGGTCCAGCAGGTCGTTTGGCAACTTTGATGTGCTACGGAAAGAGAAAAACGTGCAACTGTCAAGCAGGATTCCAGCAGCGCCGTCGCTCTTTGAAACTTACCCAGAGCTTCACACTGCTAGACACACGTACAAGGCTAGGCGCCTGCTGTCGTTCTAGTGTAAAAACAGCACAGAATGTGGCACTGGGTATAGATTACGGCTTCCTGAGACTCCAGGCTTCTATTGTAAGTCCTCCCCACCCACCACCGACAGCCTTTGGAGCTGCATGTCTGCTACAGCCCAAAAAAGGGCCAGGGCACCTTCAACAGAGGCCAGGCTTCAGTGGCCTTCTCTATCATCGAGAGGGAAGCAGGAGAGGCACATTCAGGAGAATCATGAGGCATCATTGGCCACAAATGCTTACATGTTAAAAAACTACAGTACATTCTGCAGTATGAGGAGACGGACCCAACGAAGCACTCAATTTAGCTGGTCCAAGGTCAGAGCTGAACTGTGTTTAAGAACTGTGTTGTAGTAGATAACTCACTGAAAATGTCGAGACAGTGTGTGACTGCAATAAAGAAGGCCAATGCTATGCTGGGGATTATTAGGAAGGGTATTGAAAACAGATCAGCCAATATAATGCCCCTATATAAATCAATGGTGAGACCTCATTTGGAATACTGTGTGCAGTTCTGGTCACCACACCTTAAAAAGGATATTATAGCTTTGGGAAAAGTGCAGAAAACGGCAACTCGAATGATAAAAGGGTTGGAACACTTTCCCTATGAGGAAAGGTTAAAGCGCTTAGGGCTCCTTAGCTTGGAGAAAAGACGACTGAGGGGTGACATGATCGAGGTTTATAAGATTATGCATGGGAAAGAGCAGGTAGAGAAAGAGGTACTTTTCTCCCTTTCTCACAATACAAGAACTCGTGGGCACTCCATGAAACTGCAGAGTGGTTGGGTTAGAATGGGTAAAAGGAAGTACTTCTTCACCCAAAGAGTGATTAACACATGGAATTCACTGCCACAGGAAGTGGTGGCGGCTACAGGCATGGACGGCTTCAAAAGGGAATTAGATAAGCATATGGAGCAGAGGTCCATCAGTGGCTATTAGCTACAAGGTATAGATAGGGGCTCTGGGGCAAGTGATGCTTTGTCTTCTTGGTGCTTGGGGGGGGTCAACAGTGGGAGGGCTTCTAATGTCCTGGCCCCACTGGTGGACCTCCTGATGGCACTGGTATTTCTGGCCACTGTGTGACACAGAGTGTTGGACTGGATGGGCCTTTGGCCTGATCCAACATTGGTGTCTCTTATGTTCCTATGTTCTTAAGCCATGTTGGATCAGGCCAATGGCCCTCCCAGTCCAACACTCTGTGTCACACAGTGGCCAAAACCCAGGGGCCATCAGGAGGTCCACCAGCAGGACCAGAACTCCAGAAGCCCTCCCACTGTTGCCCTCTCAAGCACCAAGAATACAGAGCATCGCTGCCCCAGACAGAGTGTTCCCTCTGTACCTTGTGGCTAACAGCCACTGATGGACCTCTGCTCCAGATGTTTCTCCAATCTCCTCTTGAAGCTGTCTATAAGAATATAGGAAAAGCTACGAGGCGGTTTTTGATTTTTGGTTTCCATGCTGATAATTACAAGAGAAAGAGCAAGAGTCCAGTAACGACTTAAAGACTAACAAAATGTGTGGCAGGGGATGAGCTTTCAGGAGTCACTACTCACTTCTTCAGAAGTCTGAAGAAGTGAGCAGTTGCTCACGAAAGCTCCTCCCCTGCCACACATTTTGTTAGTCTTTAAGTCGTTACTGGACTCTTGCTCTTTTCTGCCGCTACAGACAAACACGGCTACCCATCTTGAATAATTACAAGAGAGAGGGAGAGTGAGCCAAGGGCATACAGATACAGCCTCTGCAATCTCTGCAACCACAGGAGCATTTCCAGAAGGTCATCTCAGTAGGAAAAGCTGCAGAGACTGTGAAGTAAAGGAGTACACAGTGTTCCTCCACGCAATCCAATCTCCGTGTTTACCTAAAGCCAGATTTTAAATCCAGGTAAGGGAGAGCAATTTCTGCTAGAGACTGTATGAGGGCCCCCCCCCCCCCCTGTGG